ACTCTAAACACAAATTTAAACTTCACTTAAAATTTTCACCCAACAACCCCCCCACCCCCCCCCCCAACACACACACCCACTTATATATAATTTATTTTATAACCACCCCCCCCCCCAATATATATTATATATTATTAATTTATAATAATTTTTAAATTGTTGTAGGTTTCTAAAATCCTATCGTAGAGATGTCGGGGTGCTAGCCAGGAGTTGAGCTAGGTGATCGTTGGGGGAAGGTGCGGAGGTGGGGCGAGAAGGCAAGGGATGTAAGGAGGGGTGCAGGGTAGGAGGAGGGCGGCTGGGGATGTGGTGGGTGTTGAAGGGGGGGGCAATAGCGTGAGCGCGGACGGAATGAGAGGATGGGGAGGAAGGGATGGGGAAAGGTTGATATACGGAGTGAAGGTTGGTAGATAGTGAAGGGGAGGTACGAGGATGGGAGGGGCAGGAGAGGCATGACGTGTAGGAGGGCGGCAGGTATGTTCGGAGGTATCGGGGGAGCGAGGTCGGGAGAGGGTGAGAGGTAAGGAGGATGGGAGAGAGAGAAGAGAGAGGAGGAGGTGGAGACGTGCAGCGCTGGGAGGGCGGGCGGTGGGCAGGGGAGGCGAGGCTTGCGTGGAGGCACTGAGGGTGTGGTAGATGGTAGGGTGGGAAAAAGGAGAGGGTGGGAGAGTACAGTGGAGGTAGAGGAGGAGGATCAGTAGGGAGGGAAGCGAGGATGGTTTTAGAAGAAGCCGTAGCGTGTAGAGGAAGAAGATAGAGCAAGGAACAAGGAGAGAGGGACATGATGGATGAGGGCAGCAGGGGCAGGGGGAAAGTGAAGGACGGTAGTACGGTAGAGGGAGGAGAGAGGCACAAGAGTGGGAGGGAAGAAGGAAAGGAGAGACTGGAAGAGAATGAAGGGGAGGAGGCCTGGACGCAGAGCGGAGAGGAAGAGGGCCTGAGAGAGGAACAGAGGGATGACGAGTGAGAGCTAGAACGGTAGGGTAGAGGGAGGAAGACGAGTATATGAAATATGGCTCAGCCAGGGAGGGGACTGTAGGGGAGTATCCAGGTTGGAGGTAGTAGAGGGAGTAGGAGGGAGGAGGAGTGATAAGACCGTGAGCCTAAGATCGGAGCAGGATAGAAGCATCATGACTAGCAGAGATTCCGTAAGGCGTTAGGGAGAAGGAGAAGGAGCCTGCCAGGTGAGGTTTGGTGAAGAAAGGAGGGCAGAGTGATGCAGTGGCGAGACTGAGGAGCGAGGCCTCGCGATAGCGAAGAGATAGAGGAGCAGAGGATGAGGACGGAGCTAGAGAGGAGGGAGGCTAGAGGATTAGGAGGACAGGATTGAATGCCCATACAAGAGAGGAGAGAGGATATGGCAGTAGCAAGAGCAGGAGATAGGTTTATGGGAAGGCGAGTGATTTGTAGCAGGACAGGAGAGGGGAGAGGGAAGGGAAGGGTGGTAACGCGTAAGGGAAGGGTGGTGGCGGAGGGAGTGGGTTGTAGGGGGTAGAGGAAGGGAAGGGTAGTATCGGGAGGAGAGTAGGGAGCTTCTAGAGGTAAGAGGGAGGTGGAGTGTTCAAGGGGTTAGTGTGTAGGTGGAAGAAGAAGAAAGGTAGGTGTGGGAAGGGGCGAGACTCATGAAGGGTGCGGGTGCGGCGGAGGAGGTGGAAGGAGAGAGCGTAGTAAGATGCGGGTGGGAGAAGTGCAGGAGGGGCGGTGGGGGAAGTGGAGTGCTGGTCTGGGAGGGGAGAGGGAGGTGAGCTAGGGGGAGGACGGACGGTGGGGAATCGGGAAGGAGACGGCACTAGGAGAAGGAGAGATATGTTGGAGAAGCGGGGAGGAGAGGTTGGTAACGGGGGGGGAAGTGAGAGGGTGGGAGGTAAGGGGAGGAGTGGACAATGGGGAGGAGCGACGGAGGGGACGAGCGAGGGATCTGGCAGTAGGGTGCGTGTGGGGAGGGGCAGGTGGGAGATTGGGGTGGAAAGGACGGGAGCAGGGGAGGGATGGTCGTGGGAGTGAGGTAGAGGTGAGCAGGGGGGTGGAAGGTAGGGAGAGAGGGGAGGTGTGAAGGGGTTCAGGGGGAAGGAGGTGGGAGGAATAGAGTCGTGGAGGTCGAGGTAAGGAAGATGGGGGGGGGTGGAGTAGGTAGAGGAGGGAAGGAGTAGGTAGGAGGAGGAGCAGGAAGGGGTGATCCGGAGGAGCACGGGCGGACGGGGGAGGAGAGGAATGTCAGGTGAGACAACGGAGAGTCTGGCAGCGTGAGAAAGAGTAGGTACGAGGGGGGCAGCGGGAGGAGCGAGCAGTGGGGGGAAAGGGTTCGGCGGAGAAAGGGAAGAAGGCTAGAGGGCGTAGGGCGCGGTAAGAAGGAGCCTTAAGGGGGGGGGGGGGGAGGGGGGGGCGGGGGGGGGGTGGGTGGGATAGGTGCCGTTAGGAGTAGGGGGCCAATATGACTGAGGTGAGGGAGCCGAGGAGGAGCTCTTAGTGTGAGCAGGAAGGTGAAGGCCATGGCGTAATGCCGGGGTATCCGTTCTTGGAGGCTAGCTCACGGTGCTGTCGGGACTGGGAGGCTGAGAAGAGTAGCAGCAGAGGCAGAGGGTTGTATAAGGTGGGGAGAGAGTTGGATGCTTATGAAGCATGGGGGGCAGGGGGAGGACTTGGGGGACGATACTACTGGGAATGGTGGAAAGTGAGAGATTCAAATTAGAAGCGGGGATGGTTTGGAATGGGGGAGGAGGCGTCGCGTAGGGGGAGGGAGTTGAGAATTTACGGATTGTGGTTGAGCGAGTAGGAGAAGGAGGTGGAGTAACACGTAGGAGCCCAGGGGGGCTAGGGAGGTAGTATGAGGAGGGAGGAGTTGCGGTAAGAAGAGGGTTGGAGGGGCTCAGTTAGCAGAGTGAGAAGAAGAATAAGAGCCTAGCAGTGAGGTCGGAGTGAGGTCAGGGGCGGAGGGCAAGGGGAGAAGTAGGGGCAGGAGGGGAAAGAAGGTAGCGGGAGAGAAGAGAGGTGGAGCCAGCGGGGGTGGGAGGGGGGTTACTCTCAGGGGTGGTGGGGAGGCGAGACGAAGCATGAAGAGCGGGGGGAGAGGGGGGGTACCGAGGGAGACGGACGGTAGTATCTTCGGGGAGCGTGAATAGGAGGAGAGGGGAGAATGGGGAGGGCAGGGGGGAGGACTAGGTGGGGGGGGGCCGGGTCTCTGGGAGGAGGAGGGGTGCGGGCAGGGGTGGTTAGACTAGCGGACATGCAGGCTGGGCGATGGGGGGCACGTTGTGGCTGGGTGGAGGGTAGGGGAGTCGGGGAGCGGGCCGAGAAGGGGGTGGGTAGCGGAGGGGTGGAGGTGTTAGGCGGGTGGGAGGGGAAGAAGAGGTGGAGGTGATCTATTTGGCATGGGGGTCGGCCGGGGGGACCTGAGGGCTAGATTAGTGAGGGCAGAGATGGGAGGGAAGGGGTAGTGGAGTCTAGAAGGGTCGTGGGGGGAGGGGGCGGGGATTGGAAGCTGGTGTGGGGGGGGTGGGGGATGATTCGTAAGGGGAGGAAGTGACAAGAGGAGGAGGGTAAGGAGATAAGGCAGTGGGGAAGAGGTTGGGGAGGGGGAAATTAGGGGGAGGGGGTGGCGATGGAGTGTCGTAAGTGATGTGAGTGTTAGAGAGGGAACAACTGGGTGTCCCGTGCTATGTTCGAAGAGCGGTTCCATGCACTCAGTGTGGAGCGGACTACGATCCAGCTAACGCCTTGTGCGCGCTTGATTTCCCAAATACAGCGTGCCTGTGTTTGCCTGTGAAGGAGTGTAGGCCGGCTCCGTTGATGAAACCTGGCTCCCATCCACATGCCTCCCGGTCTTATTCCTTCGGGTTTACACTAGATACTGGGTGTGTGGTTGGAGCTGTGAGTGGCGCAGCGCAAGCCACCCATGGTCCCTCTGTAGGCGCAGGCGTCCTGCGGCTGGCCACGGTGACAGGCAAATCCGAAACCGGATGCTGCCAACCATATGAATTCGGTTGTGTCCCGTGCTGAGGCTGGTGTTGCATTCATATTGCTTCTTCACCGCAGTTGAGCTAGACCAACATACACTTAAACTAGGTATTTTACGCTGGCTAGTTTGCATTCCAATTTATTTGATTTGCTCTGCGTACCTGAATATTCTACTATTAAAGGGCCAGGTTACTTACGCTAATTGTGATTGTCTTCCTTATCTTCATTGCGTTTGTAGAGTGCTTGAATAACCTGTGGACACCTTGCACTTATCGCGGATTCGTTGCCGATCAACTTAATTCATATGCTAGTTTAGAGAATAGTTTTCTCGGCATAACTGTGTTCTTTAACAGATAAATCTTATCTGATCATTTCATTTTAACTGATTGGCTGTCCTTTGACATCCCCGGTGTGGCTGCGCTTGATGTGCTTGTTGACAAAACGCTCACCTCTCTAATACCAACTACTCCATGATACTGTCTCCAGGAGACAGTTGGTGGTTGCTGGATGGGACGTTTTGCAAGGTGCTTGTGGTCTGCCAGACTCAAACTATGCTTCCATGCAGTTAGTGTAGATCGGACCATAGTCCAGCCGCCGCATAGTTTGCGCTTGATTCACACATACGGCGTATTTGTGTTTGCCCTTATGTTAAGAAAAATGATAGCTGTATTGTTGATTGTGATTGCGGACATTATGTTAGCAACTAGTTACGTTGAGAGATTATCGTCGTCGATGAAGCTAAAATATGGAAACTGTAAGCACAACCACTGTGGACATGACCTGAGACTGCATTAGCTAACCCAGTGAATTTATTATTTTGGTATTTAGTTTATCGTTTCATATAAACTAGTTATCATTATTAAGCTTTTATTGTAGGTATTTAGGAGTTTGTCGCAACAAGATCTAAGTTGGCCCTACGCATGCCAAAAAACAGCCTGCAATGTCCACGTTCCGGATATACTCAGTGAGCCTCATCCATCAGATCACTCAGGATTCGAACTCATGACCACAAGCGGTTTGCACTGCGATTCAGCTGCTTTTACCATTGGGCCGCCTGCAGCAGCTTCGGATGGTCATGATTTACAAGCTAACTTTGATACACCGCGTCAAACCCTCTAGTTTCATGCAGATTACGAAGGTTGCAGAGGAGAGGATCGGCTCCGAGACGGGGGTGGCTACAAACGGACACATTTGCTAACGGTCAACGATGCAGTAATTCATGAAAGGCAATGCTTGCGCATTCAACGGTTGAAACTATAAAAAGCGTTTATCCAGTAGGATGTATTTATATAATTGCAAGGAAATAACTGTTGTGTTAATTGTCTTTTAGTCCGGGCTGAATTCATTTGCATTATACGAGCTGCTAGTGAAGTAATTCATCATAGACTGCAACTACTTACGGGCCAAGTAAATGAAGTACCGCCTGTTTTTCTAACTTAAAAATATATTCCATTACTACATTACACAGGTGGTTATCTTAAATTACATAACGCTTGCTGTATTCTATAATTCGAAAATTAATTAAATAAAATGTATTAGCTCCCTATATGGTGGTCGCTAACTTTAACTGATAAAATAAATTACGGGTGTCAGTCACCTTCGTTTTCATTGGCAAATTTATCGCTACTGAATAAATGCTACGTTTTATAACTTACAATAATTCACATTATAACAGAAATGCATGAAACATATTATGCTGACACAAATGCATCCCGGCGTGTGAAAACATGAACTGTGTGTCGAAATAGCTGACATTGTTATGGTGGTGTTTACTGAATTGTGGTTCTACTGATTGAGCTGATCATGCCCAATCACGCTCACTGAACTCATTGTAATATAAATTGAAATGTCTTCTAACAAATACCAAAAACGTATTAGATTGTTCTACTAGCTGCTGAAATGAAAAACTCGATAATCAGATAGCGTAATTCTGATCGTCAACATTATCCGAGTGATATTTAAATTGAACTCTGAGAATTGCACCCCAATACGGCTTGCAGGTGATTAAAGTGACAGTTGCATGTAACGACAGAACCATGGGTCGCAGGAGCTTTGCTTCCACTGGTTGTTAACTATTACAGTCCAACTGAGGAATCTAAAAGTAATTAAAGCTGACTAATCATCCTCAGTCCTACGGAAATAAAATTCACCGTCAGTAAAGTCGATCACACTCTCCTGCGAAAACGTTTTGCTCGTATAAAAACAACTCTCAAACCAATTCGTGGATGCAAAGTCATCTAAATCGAACCCGAATGCGCTGAGAAACAAACCATTTACGCATAAGTTGGGCTACCAGATTTTCATCGATACGCATGATGTTTTCGGAGGAAATAGACATTGCTGAAAGTGTAGTAATGCATGATTTTTCAGGAAAGAATACAAAATTTGAGTGTTTTATCATTAAGTTTGACTACTCAACTCTAGAAAATGCCTCTTTTTTATGCAAACAACAATGGAGCCTTATTTTAACTAACTGTTTAACTAGATTTCTAATTCACGCGAATTCTCAGGTCACCGAATAAACACTGACGAAAAGGAAGATCTCAATACTAAGAGTTTTTTGAATACGTAAACAAATACTTTGATAAATGATAGTTGTATTAGCGATGAATACTGGGCGGAATAGATGCAACACCAGGCGCCATACAAGGAAACATTTGGGACTGCGATTGACAAAACCTGTCTAAACAGCGAATGTTTTATCGTGCAGGTGAAAACGCGCCATCATGCAATGGAATAATTCGATATCAGTCAATAGATTCACGGTAACATTGCGATTAGCGGCAATTGGCAAAGCTCAGAGCCGCACCGAGTATCATGCCTCAAGTAGCCAAAATGCAGTCCATGTTTCAACGATCGTTGGGTAAACGTAAGCTAGCTACCATAAATAGCTGCCATGTGAATAACATAGATCCTTCAGTTGCTTTCGGAATAGTAGTTCCCATAAATATCACCGAACGAATCCATGAGAAACACTATGCATACATTGAAAATACACTGTACAGTCTGGGAGGAACTGTTCTCATTTAATTCACCCTCCCCATGGTCAGCCAATTGCCCGGAACAGGTTAATCTGGTTCCTTGCGAATTCAGCGATGAAGAATCACTGTAGCAACTGTGCAGAAGCATATATAAATAGACTTCATATCCGAAGCTCCGCGTCATTTGATATGACATTAGAAAGCATTTATGAGGACGTAGCAAAACTGCCACAAATTAAATCTTGCCTTTTGTTTTACCTATACCCTTAACATAAGTTAATTTGCATACAGTCATCAGTCATCTAGTCAAACTATACCTATTTTCTGGAGAAAGGTTGTCCTCCATCGGTCGCGGTTAATATTCCCAAGAGATAACTTAGATGCAATCTAGTTTTCCCAAAGAATAAATGTAGGCGAGCAAACTGGATTGGCATTTGCGAGCCTTGAACTAGAGATATTGTTACGCGCCTAAGGCAATCGCTTCTCCGATGTTACTTCAAGAGCAAAAAAGAGCCAATGTAAAATAAGACCGATTTTTATTCAGTTTCTCCTTAAACCAAGGGATGTTTTGAATACCGTGGTTACTGAGTTAGTTTGCCTTACAGAATAACATGAAACTCTATGTAGAATTGTACTTTAATATGAAAGCGAATGGTTAGGAAATGGTTCATAAAATTGTTGCTGATCTGTGCGGGTTGGCTTCGAAATAATAAATGCTGTCTGAAAACCACGAATCTCGATCGATCTGTGTAGCTGGATTGTCTTGTTTAAACATATTACCAGCATTACATAAAGTGAAACTGTGCGGCATGCTGTTGCCTTATCTGGATAATTTCATATTGATCAGCTTGTGCTTACCTTCCGATGGAACATTAACCAATTATGGTCCAGAGTACACAATTTTTATAAGATTATTTTAATTCCATTACGCTGCACAATCTTTAGAATTTATATCAAATAAGTCTATAAATTGTGAAAAATATCATCAGGAGAAAAGTTCTCGTCGTTTTCGTTATGAATGCTTACACAATTCTGTGATAAAGTGGGAAACGGTTTACTGTCCGGTATGATTATAAACAAATGTGCTTTATGTGTAAAATAAAGTTAACTCTCTAGAAGATTTTCACCAAAAATAAGAGAGTATGTGACCGCTAGCTTGATAAGATGCTTCTAAAATCTAGGCAGCTGGCTTTCTGAATGCTCACGGAGAGATAGAACAAATTAGCTGAAATTGACAAAATGGAAATAAAAAATGTATTTATTTATTTGGTGCCATGGATGATTCCTCGA